CCTCAGACAATAAAACTACTTGTGGAAAATGCTGGGGAAACTCTGGGAGACATTGGAGTAGGCAAAGACTTCTTAAATAAGACTCCCAAAGCACAGGCAATAATCCCTAAAATAGACAAGTGGGACTATATTAGACTAAGAAGTTTCTGCACAGCAAAGGACACAGTAACAAGTGTGAACCGACAACCCTCAGAATGGGAAAATATTTTTGTTAAATATGCCTCAGACAAGGGACTGATAACGAGAATACATAGGGAACTCAAGTGCCTTATGCGAAAAAAAATGATTAACCCGATTAAAAGATGGGAAAGTGAGCTGAACAAAAGTCTCTCTAAGGAAGACATACGAACAGCCAAAAAGCATATGAGGAAATGCTCGACATCCCTCATCATAAGGGAAATGCAGATAAAAACCACAATGAGATACCACCTAACCCCTGTCAGAATGGCAAAGATTAAGAATATAAAAAGTGATAAGTGTTGGCGGGGATGTGGTGAAAATCTCTCTCTGTCTGTCTGGTGAGCGCACATGCCCTATAGCAAAAACCTCTCAAAAAAAAGAACATGTGAGTAAGCCAGGCTATGAAAGAAAGATATTGTATGTATCCACTCAATATATACCGACTATCCGCACTCTATGATAGAGAGCAAAAAATCGGAGGACATAAAAGCAGTGAAGGTACTTAATGAGAATAGGACAGTGTGGAATGGGGTAAGTGAAGAGAAGAGGATAGAGAAAGATAGCAAGTGAACAATAGAGAGGCAGGACGTTAGTGAGAAACAGATAGGGCTTATTAACTGTTGATGATGACATGTATAGTATTCTCAACTGGATTGGTCTGAGAAGTATTTCATGATGGGCAAAGTATTTTTACAAGCAAAATAAGAAATAGCAATTGACTGTTTTAAAAAATAATTAGAATAATAAAAATAATGATTGGGGAAAACATAGAAAAGATATTGAATGTTGAAGTGGGGAGATTAATGTCTCTGTACTGACTGACATGCAGGGCATTCCCTTTTGAAAAAACAATGTAATACACTGTAAAGTTATATGTAATCCAATGTAATATAAAGAAGATTATGATGATGATAATAAAAAAATAAAATTAAAAAAAAAAGACCACGATCAGTTCCTTGCATTATTTGTGAGCTCCAGACAGGGCTTTTAAAATGATTTTTGAGTTTTAAATTAAGGTCACATCATTAGGCCAATGAATGAATAGGCACAGGTGTACTGCAGTTTAAGGAAGCACTGGTTCTTTCATTGAACTCACCCACAGTTTGCTGATTTACCAAAACGTAATCACTGCTGTCCGTCCCTCTTAGTTCAAACCACCATCCCCTCCCGTTTCTCCAAGCCCGCATGGTTGTAATACATCTCAGATGATTCAGATTTGCCCGTCTTCTCAATCGAGGGATTGGAACCTCAAGCGATTACGGCTGTAGCTGGGCTGCCAAATTGGAATGCCCAAAAGAACACCCATGCTCATGCCCAAACCCGTCCCCGGGCTCTCCATTTGTGGACCTTATATCCAGCCAGCCCTGGATCATGGGTACACATGTGCCTGGTGTTGTCAGGGAGTCCTCTGGATATGAACCCAGAACGTTGCCGTGCGGGTCGACCTCACAGAGTGTTGCAGTTTCCAGCTGTGCCATGATCTGGTCTGATGTGCTGACAGTGTCTCCAGTCTGGCCCCATCCTGGAGGTGGCAGGTCTCGTGGCAAAAGCCCCGAGCTGCAGGGAGGAGACGGAACCCTGCTGGTGCCTGCCTTTGCTCCTGCCAGCAGATAAGCTTGGGCTCATCTCTTCTGCTCTCTGTGCCCCAGTTTCTCTGCTCCTCCACTATGTGGCGTGGAGGCCAGATGGCAGTGCAGTGGTAAAAATGCCATGCTCCGTGAGGCGGTCCCACATTGGGAGGGTCCCTGGTTCTAGTCTGCAGACCTCCATGAGGACACTGAATTGTGGCCTTGCCTGTGATCTGGGCCAGCAGGTTGGGTCGCAGCGTTGGAACCTCTTGGGGGTGCACACTCTCTCCCTCCCCTCTCTCTATTTCATTCATGGAAGAAATCAATGAACTTTAAAAAAAAAAGAAAGAAAGAAAGAAAACGACGAGGCTCAGCGAGTCCTGCAGTAGAGCTCTGCTCACCTCTCGGGGTGAGTGTGAGTTAGTGGGATAAGGCGCAGCGCAGCCCTCAGCGGCTGGCACATTCCGAGGAAGCTTTCCTTTGGCAAAGGATTCTGCTGCTAAACACCGCATCAGAAACCCTGGCCTTTACCCCATGACTGAGCTGCCCCTGCGGGGTGTCCCGAGTTCCAGCTACAGTGGCTTCACGCCAAACCCCATTGCCAGCACGTGATGCTCACGCTCCAGTTCCAGCGTCGCCTCCTCCAAGATGCTGACCCGCCCTGAGGCTCTCTCTAAACCGTGGGTGTGCCCACAGCCCTGCCCACCGTGCAGTGCCCTGGGCTGGGGGTCTCCAGTGTACCCCTACTCCCCCAGCAGAACTGTAAGAGCCCTGGGGCCGGGGACTAAGATCTACAGCCAGCGCCAATCCCAGGACACGGAAGAACCCCAGGAAGTGTCTGTGGATACTGCAGAAGGGCTGAGGCTGGAGGCTGCTTAGAACACCGTCACACCTGACTCTGGGCCCTCTCCCTCCCGTGTGGGGACAGTACAAAGGACAGAGAGGAGCTACATTGCCAAGGCTGGCAGAAAGTAGAGCCAGGTCTGAGATGACACAGTGATCCCCAGTCCCCGGTCCCACTTCTGCCATGCCCCGAAACAGAGTCCGCAGCCACACCAGATAGCCTTGGGGACTCGCTCCAGCTCCCTCTCCTCCTCTCGGCCTGTGCCCACCGCTCCCTTCAATGGAGAGACCGTCTCTCCTCTGTCTCTCCTTCGTTTCCGCCTCTGACAACGGATGAGCTTAAGTACGGGCTTTCTGCTCTATGGTCTCGGCTTCCTAGGCCCTGCCTCAACGTCTCTAGAATTCTGCCACCCTCTGCGTGGATGCCTGCTAGGTCGGTCTGATAAGCTCAGTCCTGCTGTGCCTGGGAGAGCCTCACTCTTTGGTCTCCCTGGTTCTACTCCTCGTGCAGGAAGCACACCCACCCCGGGGGCCTGCTCAGCTGCACACCAGCCTGAGCAATAGCCACTCTGAGCCCTTTCTGCAGGGGACTTGGGACAAAGGCGGTCTTGGTTCCTCGGACATTGCTCGCATTGCAGGACATGGGAGCCTCCTTGGGCCCTGCTGGTACCAGTGGGGTCTGGTGGTATCGGGACACTGTTGGGACAATAAAGATAGCCAGCCTGACCTGCTGAGAGCGCTGACGAGAGCTGGCAGTGCTGAGAGGGACAGCACCAGCTCTCCAGAGAGGCCCGTCAGGGAGGGCCAGCCCTGCACGGCACAGCGTGGCCTCAGCAAGTCCCGTCTTCCTGCCTCCTCCCTTTCCCCCTTTCACAGACATTTATTAAGCATCCTCCACGGGCCAAACCCTCTCCTGGGCTTTAGGGCTTCCAAGACAGTCCTTGCCCTAGAGTGCTAATCTGGCCATGGGAACCAGTAAGGGTAACACGTCCTTCTCTGGCCTCAGTTTCCTCATTCGTGCCAGCCTGGCGCTCTATGATCCCCTTGATTCCAGTGAGTCTCTGCGGTTCTCTCATCACACTGGACCATCCGTTCCAGCCAGTTGGGTGCGTGGTGGGCCGCAGGCTGCAGGCGATCCACAGGGAAGGGTTAGTCATAAATGCCGTAAATGTCGACCCGAATTGCCTTGTGGGCAGCCTGGGCGTAGCTCACCGTGGCCAACTGATTGCTGTGCTTGGTTCTTGCTCTTCAAATCTCCATTCCCTCTTCTTCAGCCAGCAAGCCAACCTAGACTGTCAGAGATTACTCCCAGCATAGCCGGGCCCACGAGGGAAGGATCAGAAGACAGATTAGACTGAGGGCCTCCGCGTGAGCAGGAAACTCAGGTTCCTCTGTCGTTGGTCCAGGCTCTCTCCAGGCCCACCACGTGCACCTTCCCTTCTTGGGCTAGGAACTGGGAAATACTAAATACATGTCTGGGTGACTAAGAGAGTCAGGGGAGAAGTTCTTCCCAGGATGTCCACGGTCCCTCTGTTAGACGGCTCGGGGCAGCCTTAATGAACGTTTATCTAGCTGGTGACAGACCTTGGGTGTTAGCCAGAGAGTTTCTTTCACACTCACGTCTCTCACACATGCAGATAGCCAGGTTATTTGCTATATCCAAGACATCTTCACAACCCCACAGGGCCTCTGGCCCCACTGGCTCTCACCAGTGGCATAATAATCCCCTCTTAGGAACCAGAGTCATATATCACTTCTATCTTTTTTTAAAAATTTATTTAACTTTATTTATTTTAATTTGATCAGAGAGGGACAGAGTGGGGGAGGGACAAGTGAGAAAGCAAGTCGCCAGGTCTGGGACTCAAACCGCAGTCAGCCTGTCTGTCTGGCGAGTGCACGCGTCCTATAGCAAAAACCTCTCTAAAAAAAAAAGACAGAGAGAGACAGAAAGCGAGAAACCACCCCCTGGGGGGATAGCCACACCACAATCCCTTCTCCTCCATTCTCCTCTTGGGATCTTGGGCACACATGCACACGTGCCCGGCGTAAGTTTAAGCCGCCGGGCCCGGGACGTGAACCGCAGTCAACTACGTGGGAGTCCAGCAACATAGCCATTACGCTAACTGCTGATTCCTCAATTGTATCTTTATGCATCAGTCTTGGGCACTTTTCTCCACTTGTATCTTTTTTTTTTTTTTTTGAGAAAGAGGTTTTTGCTATAGTTCGCATGCGCTTGCCAGAGAGACAGAGAGATAGAAAGCGAGAAATAACCCCCAGAGGGAATGGCCACACCGCAATCCCTTCTCCTCCATTCTCCTCTCGGGATCTTGGGCATGCACACACACACACACACACACACACCCGAGTTTAAGCCACCGTGAGTTTAAGCCACCGAGTCCAAGACTCAAACTGTGGTCGACTACATGGGAGTTCAGTGACATAGCCGTTATGCTAACTGCTGGTCCCTGTATCTTCTTGATAGCTCTAAGAATTTGGTTTTCAAAGTTCTTCCCTTACATTCGAAATATCTGCAGAAGGAATGGTCCTAGCAAGTCCCAGCTCCTGTGAGCTGGTATTTCTAGTCACCCGGCCAAGTAGGGCACACATTTTAGGTATGTAAAAATACAGAGTACTTCTCACTGCACTGTTCAGCTGGAGTGCCTCTAGCCAGGCTTAGCGACATGACCAGGCAAACTTCGGGGGGCAGTTGTGGAGCTACCAGGACTCTTGGGATTCAAAAGGGACCTGGGAGCTCTCCCATCACTTTCTGTGCAGCATGACGGTTGCCCATTCTACCTACGGTGGAGCCAGTCCAGCTCTTCCCTGGGGGCTTCCAGAGATAAGAGGGCACAGAGAAGCAGGTGGGATGGGTGGTCCTTACCCTCAGCCCCAGCTAATGTCGGCCCTGCTCTCGGAGGGTAGAGGGACTTGAGCAGTTTCCAGGGTATCAGTGCTGTCTCTGACATCAGGCATCCAGTCTGGCCAGCAGCATATCTTACGATTGCATTCATTTGGCTTTATTTTTAGTTCTGGAAACAACTCATCTTGCACTGTTGTTTTGGAGGACAGCTTTTGACTGGGCACAGGACAATATTCGCACTTCTTGCGGTTCCTGGATGAATGCTGAGGCTCATGATGAAGTGTGGAGCGAAGACACTCTGAGACGCTGCATGGGTCACCCCTGCCATGAGAATGACTCACAGAGGAAGCCCAGGCCTGGGACATTGGTGGGCCCTGGGCCAGGACAGACAGAAACAGATGGGATGAGGCCCACAGGGATGGTGTGCCGTTCTGGGGGTGACCTAGACAGTGCCAATCACAGGCAGAACTGCCAGCAGGAGCACAGTTTTTCATCTGGTGGGTTTTGAATCCTTTTTTTTTTTTTTTCACTATTTTTTTTAGAAGAAACCTCTTCAGCATTCTATCTGTAGCTTTAGTTGGGCTCCAGCCAAATTTTCTTTTAAAAATAGGACACATTGCATAGTTATTGAATTATCAAGCTTTTGTCAACATCTACATCACCGTTATCAAAGTATGCTCCAGGTGTCCGGCTGAGCAGATCTTTGCACAAAACAATTGAAATGACTAAATAAACTTGCTTCTCACCGTTGGGAATTTTAGCTGGAAAGCAAAAACACAAACTGCTGTGGATGAAAGTGTGAAGGGCTGTGCGGACACGCACCACGTACACAAACCTGGGCACACCGAGTGGTGAAGGGAAAGCAAGTGAGGGTACCTGACCCCGTCACACCCGTACCCATCCCATGGCAAGCCGGTGCCCTTCAGTTGGGGCCAGTGGAGAGAGAATGGATTTGAAGGGTCATTGCAAATTCTTTTGAGTCAAAGTGATCTAGGCTGGGGCCCTTGAACATAGATACCACGTCTTTCTTACTTTCTTTTCGTTTATTTATTGAATGTGGGGCAGGGGAGACAGCAAGTGAGGTGGTAGTTAAGGCACTGGATTCCCACATGGTCAACTATGATTCGAGTCCCAGGCCTGGTGACTTGAAAATCATGCCGTGCATGCGTGCCCTAAATCCCAAGAGAATAGAGGAGAAGGGATCGCAGCATGACCATACCCCCCAGGGGATGATTTCTAACTTTCCCTTTCTGTCTCTGTCTCTGTCTCTCCTTGGCAAGTGCATATGCCTTATGGCAAAAACGTGTCTATGGGGAAGCCCCCCCACATCAAAATGGCTGCCATGCCCTTCACATAACAAAATGGCCGGTGCGACCTTGACACGTACACCAGGAACACAGAACTTCCTGGTTCAGACAAACTGACAGGTCCTCAATTAGGTCCGCTGTAAACCCCGCCTATTTTCTCCTGCCTTGTGTATATAAGAAAGTGCTCTGGCCCTCAATAAACGAGCAAAACTTTCATACCATCAAGAGCTGTGACACTGTGTGAGCTGTGACACTTCTTTCGCTCCTGTGCTGAGACGCTGCGCAGGTTCCAGACCTCTGCCCCCTCGCTCGAGTTCTCTGCCCGATACGTCCCGCAGGCCGGGACAAAGTAGAATAAATGCATAAAGCTTAAAAAAAAAAAAAAAAAAAAGCGAGAGAGAGACAGGAAGAGACAAGCAGATATCCCCAGCAGGGTCTTGATACCACGTCTACCCCCAATTTCAGCCCAGATCATGGGCACGAGTGGGCCCAGAATCGGACTCAGGGAGGTCTTCCGGATGCAAACTCAAACTTTCCCGTGTGGGTCGGCCTTGCTGGGGGGGTCTGCTGCACCCCCTCAATCCCTGAGCTACTGTGGCCTCTGTCTATTCATTTGAAAGCTTCAGTATCTGACACAGAGCCCAACAGCAGGAGGCAATTTGGTTAGAAGTAGTGCTTTATCGTTATTAGACTCCTTATCGTGAGTGTTTCTGTACCGTCTATACCATGTGAGGCTGTTATAATGAGGGCTAATGCTCCCATACATCTTCAGCTTGTCTAATTCTGTGGGAAGTGCACCGAGTCACTATTCCGGAAGTTTTCCCCACTGAGTTCCATAAGCTGGAACAACCGTTTATGAACTTCATTTATAAGAAACGACAATTGTTAGTATAATGAAATACATACCATGGAACAAATTAAGTGTTCTAATCAATTAAATATACATCCAGGGAATAATTATTTTTTTAAAGAATTATTTATTTAGGGACCAGCGGTTGTTGTAATGGCTATGTCGCTGGGCTCCCATGTAGTCGACCGCGGTTCAAGTCCCAGACCTGGTGGCCTAAACTCACGCTGGGTGCATATGCGCACGTGCCCAAGATCCCAAGAGGAGAGTGGAGGAGAAGGGATTGCAGTGCAGCCATCCCTCCTTGATTTCTTGCTTTCTTTCACTGTCTCTGTCTTTGTGGCAAGCGCATGCACCCTATAGCTAAAACCTCTCCAAAAGAACAAATCAATTACTTATTTATTTATTTAATTCTATTGTAATTATTATTTTTTAATTTGATCAGAGAAAGAAAGTGAAAATGAGAAAGCAAGCTGCCAGATCCAGGACTTGAACCATGGTTGGCCATGTGGGAATCCAGCACCCTTAACCACCACCCCACCTGCCGGCCTGAGAAGAATGGATTTTTATAGCACTCCAGCCTCTGCCTATTCCCCTGCTTTTCCTGGGACATGTACCAGAGACAGGTCAATCCAGGGGGAGGGAGAGAAGAGATTCAGTAAGCACTTCCACACTCAGGGGCTACACCAAGACCAGACCGGCTGGGCAGATGGTGAGGCTAGCTCGTTTTATAGAACCCAGCAGCCTGTTCCTCCCACCAGCTCCAGCCCAGTCTCAGGTCAGGGAGAGCAGAAACCAAGGTGGCCAAGTGCCTGAGCAGTCTTAAAGGCTAAGGTCACTAGGAGTGTCCTGGAACAGGAATGGTGGGATGAGAAAGTCTGAAGGGGCAGGAGTTGGGGTGTAGATGGGGGTGACAGGACAGACGATCAGTGGGAGGGGCCCACAGCTTCACTCAGAGGGCCCAGGATTCCCCAAACGGAGCAGAAATGTCACTGCGGACCCCCCACCTTCACAGCCTCTGACTGCTTTGGAAGACACAGGGCTGATCTGCCCATTTCTCGGGTCCCCGTGGTACACGGAGAGGCTAAGAGTAAAGTCAGTTTGGGTTGGGCCCCCTGCCTAGTGGTTAAGGGAGCTGGATCCCATATTGCCGACTGTGCAGTTTGAATACTGGCCCTGGTGGTTTAAAAACCATTTGGGGTGCATATATGTGGCCCAAATCCCAACAGGCTGAAGAAATGGAGAAAAAGGATTACTGTGTGACCACGCTCCATTGGGGTTGCTTTCTCCCTCTCCCGCTCTCTGTCTCTCTCTCTTTTTCCTTCTGGTGGGTGCGTGGACCCTCTAGCAAATTAAAAAGAATAAAGAGTAAATCCATTTTATAAACTGCTCATCCCTTCCACTTTTTAGGGAGACACTGCAGGCATTTTCTTCTATAAAATAAAAGCAAACCATGTGCCACCAGTGTCCTCAAGTCCGACCCGACTCCCTGCACTTTCTCCGGGTGTGATGGGACCAGCCAGTGGCAAGGACCTCACACAGGCCGGGTGGGCTTTTCTAGATGGGCATCTGAGGAAGGGCAGGTCAGGGCCAGAGAATGCGAAACAGCCCAGGCATCAGCTGGGGATTCATTCCTGTCCTCCCTGGGGCCACGGCTCAGCCCACCAGGCCTGTCTTCTCTGCCTGGTGGAGCCGAGGCGTCCCAGGCCTCTCCTGGGGAGACTACTGGCCCTCTGGAGAGAGAAGCGGCTCACAGTGAAGGAATGCCTGGTCAATCTTCCCGCAGAAGGAAAGGCAGACTGAGCAGCTGCCTTCATGGTCGGGTCCAGAGAGAGACGTTCTTGGACCCGTGAGTTAGGTGGGCAGACGAGCAAGAGCAGAGCCCACAGCCAGTGAGGGCAAAAGTCCTGGGGGCTTCTGCTCCCTGAACCTGGGCTGGCTGGCCAGGTGCACTGGAGGCTCGTGGCAGGGCCTGGTTTTCGGGATGCCATCTCCTGAGTATAGCTCATGGGCCTGATACTCTAGGAGAGTCAAGATAAAAGGAAGGACAGATGCTGAACACGGACAAAGGATTAAAATAGGTTTGAGGGGTTATTCTAGCCCAAGGAAAAGAACGATATGAGCAAAACATGTGCCTGAGTGACAGCCCAACCAACACCAAAGAGGGGTGGGTGGGTCGGGGTGGGGAGGACGCTTTAGTGTAAGCTGTTCCTTTTGTAAACCTGGGATGAGAAACCCAGAATGTGGCGGGAGTGGGGAGACCACTGATAGCAGCCCCCCTAGTGGGTCGTACTCTGTGAAGCACGGTCGTGCTCCGCGTCCCATAGAACAGGGCAGCCATCCTGGGGGCAGCGTTAGCACCGCACCTGTGTTACAGATGAAGAGACGTGCCGGGACTCACCTCCGGTGGCAGTCCTTAAAGCAAGGTGTGAGCATATGATTCAGTGCTCCAGGGTGAGTGCTTACTGTAACAGGCAGGCATATATTATTGTAATGAGCTTTTAAAAATATAACTAAAACCATCAGACCTGTGGTTTCAAGGATACTGTTGCTTAGGAGGAGGAGGCTATGTTAGAAAAGTGAGTTTATTTAAAACTCGTTTAAATACAGTATTAAAGAAATAATACTACTTATGGTTCTTGGTTTCAAATTTTTTCTTCTTTCTTTAAATTTACTTTTTATTGCCAGAGGGTGCATGTGTTCTCCAGAGAGAGACAGGGGAAAAGCACTCCCCCCCCCCATGGGGCACGGTTGTACCACAACCCCTTTTTCCTTTCTCCATCCTGTCGGGACTTAGGGTTTGCATACATACACACACATCCACCGTGTTTTCAAGCCATGGGGACTGGGATTCAAACCACAGTTGGCCATGTGGGAATCTAGCTCCCTTAGCCAGTAAGCATAGGGCTGGCCTGGTTTGATTCTTAAAAAATAATTCTTATTTATTTTATTCTATCATTGTTTTTTAAATTTGCTATAAGGCATGTGCACTCACCGGAGAGAAAGTGAGAGTGCAAGTCTCCAGGTCTGGGATTCAAACCGTGGAGGGCCATGTGGGAGTCCAGCACCCTAACCGCCACACCACCTGCTGATCTTCTGGTTTGAACTTTTAAAGGTGGGAAACCAAGTCAGAATTGTGGTGGTGATGCAGATGATAAGAGCAAGCACTCTGCACATGCTAAACCGTTTCTTCTCTTGAATACATTCTCTCCATCAGGCTGATACGAATTTCCTCCATTTACATAGGCAGCCTGGGAGAGGTACAGACCAGAGACAGGACAGCGAGCAGGTGCTCAGACCTCAGGGCTCGTTCCTCCAGCAGTTGTGAAAACCCTTCACCAGGGGCCCGGGTGCAGGGGTTGAGACTGCACCTGCTGGGTGGGGAGCACTTCCCACCTCCAGTGCAGAGCTATAGGAGATACTGCATTTCACAACAGCGCTACGTCCCCATGCAAAGGGGAAAGGCTGATGGGGTGCTCCAGAGCAGCGTATCCCACAGCATCGGGTGGTGGTTGGATTGCACGGCTAACAGGAGGGCCTCGGGCAGAATCTCAGCTAACTCAGTTTCAGGTGGGCCTTCCTGCATGCCTGTTAGACCCTTCCAGAAGGTAGTTGCTGGCATTTGAGAGGCTTTACCAGACAGGTTATCTGTGTTACAAGAGCGAAAGAGGGTGTCTCAAAACTACAGAAAGAGAGGAAGAAGCTCTGAGTCCAGTGGCTGCTGCAAAGGCTCACGAAACCAGCGTGGATGGGGAGAGAAAAGCAGAGACTAAGACGTGCCAGGATGTCCTCAGCTAAGAGCATGAGAACAGTTGTGCTTCTTACTTTCACACAGTGGTCAAAGATCCCTCGGTACACTTCCAGTTAGCAAGTGCTTTGGGGGGACCAGCAGATGGCATAGCATTTACATCGTTAGACTTCCACATGGCTGACCATGGTTCAAGTCCCAGACACAGTGGCTTGAAATCACACTGGCTTGTGTGCGTGGGTACCTGAGATCCTGGGAGGAGAATGAGGAAGGGACTGGGGTGTTGCCTCCCCCACCCAGGTGATTTCTCACTTTCCCTCTCAGTGTGTCTGTCTGTCCCTTTCTCTCTGGTGAGCGCACGTGCCTAAGGAGGAAGGGGTAAGAAAAAGAAAAGAAGAAAACAAAGAAAGAACAAGTGCTTTGGAATACCAAATCCACCTCTCAGCCAGGTGGCCTTGTCACAGTCACTTAATCTCCCTGGGCTCCAGGGGCAACTAGAAAACCCAGAAGGCTCCAGGCTACCCTAGCCCGCCTCCTCCTCAACACACCGATCATATAAGGAGCGAGGGAGACAGAGCGAGGGAGTGTTACCGTCATGCGTTCCTCCACTGGGAAACACGAGGCAGGCAGAATGAGTGTTCCTAACACCATTCACCCGGTTGCAGGGTCACACAGTTTCTCTACCTGTAAGGTAGGAATAATAAAAGTGCTTCTCCCATGGGGCATCGTGAATATTAAGTGCGATCATCTTAGCACAGTACAAGATGTGTGATGAGTGCTCATAGTCGTTACTGCAGTTACTACTGTCCGCCAGGAAGGGGGCCCACTCACCACCTCTCTAAGGAGACCCCATCTGGCTCGGATTTGTAAGTCCAGGCAGACCTACCAAAACAGAGTAAAAGTTCATAGTTCTTATTTTTGTGTAACAAATACTCCCAAAAGAGTACATTTTTTAAGTGGATGTGGGTAAGCATCCTAATTTAGTGGGACATTTAGGTCAAAGCTAAGAAATCAAAATGGCCAGAAAAGGATCCCAAAGGTGAATTCATGATCCCTCCCTCAGAACCTACTCTCCAGTGTTCCCTGCCCCAGTAAATGACACCCCTATGCGCTGGGGAGGCCAAGAAAATGATACCTCCCTTCCGTTTCCAGGTCAGAAGCAAGGCTTGGGGCTGGTCGAACTGGTCGTGCCACCCTGAACTGAATGGGCCTCCCTGACTGCAGGCTTCTACCCAAGGGCAGAGCAGGCTCCATTAAGCTCACCCTGAAGCCTAGAGATCAAACTGACCACATCTGTCTGTGGCCAGCAGGACCGACTAGAAAACCCAGAAGGTTCCAGGCTACCCTAGCGCGCCTCCTCCCTAACACACCAATCATATAAGGAGCGAGGGAGACAGAGAGAGGGAGTGTTACAATCATAGGCGTCCCTCCACTGGGAAACACGAGGCAGGCAGAATGAGGGTTCCTAACACCATTCACCTGGTAGCAGGGTCACAAATCTGTCATGTTAGACATGTGGCCTTCCCTACTCCCCACCTGCCCCCATATTCTGTTCATCACCAAGTCCTGTCAGTTTCACTTCCTAAATATGTCTTGCATCTGCTCTCTGGGTTCCATTGTAAAGTCAATAGTCATTAGTTCATGACATTATTCATTGTCACCTGGACTCCCCATGGACACCCCATCCACTTCTGCTGTCCCCAATCTGTTCTCCACATTGCAAGCCCCAACTCCTGACACTTAGTTAACAGTTCCTGCTGCTCTTTGGCAAAAACTAAAAGTGATACTTTAGGCTGATTCTCTGCTGGTCTAGTCCATTCTACCCCCTAGCCTGGCAGCCTGACTCCCCCCCCCCCCGACTCCCGACAGGGCCCCACCCCCCCCACACCGGCGCCCGTCTCCCCCCCCCCCCCCGACTCACGACAGGAGCTCCAGCCACCCTGCTTGCTTTGGGGGGAGACAAGCTTCATTCCACCTCAGAACCCTTTCACTTGCTGTTCCCTCTGCCTAGAATGTGTTTCCTTGCCTTCATTCCTCCCTCCCTCTCTTTCCTTCTTTCTTTCCTCCCTTGCTCCCCCATCCTCCACCTGTTCCTCATCCTCCACATCTAAACTCGAGTGTCACTTTTCCAAGGAAGCTGCCCAGACCCAGTCAGATCCCGTTGCCAGAATAGTCAAGGCTTGTGCGAGCTTGTCCTTCATATCGTTTACCGCAGATTGGTGGTAGGGTGATCATGTGACTGAAGAATGCCTGTGGCCCGCACTCTACTGTAAGCTCCCTGCAGAGAAGGTGTGTTCCTATCCCTCAGCACCTGGCATAGTAACTCACACACAGTAGCACATATTTCTTGATTGGGTGAAGGAAGAGAATGGACTGGGGGAAAAGATGTGATCCTAGTAGTTGGTTTTGATCAAATGCCCTTTTTCTGGGAAAGTAGGGCAGATTGGAGAGGCATGGAATCAGGTGTTTCGGGGCGGGGGGGTGCAGGGAGACAAGGTCAGTCTGGAATCAGAGGCCAGAAGCCGGCAGCCCCACTGGCTGCGTGTAGCAAACAGCAGTATAGCAGCATGAGGAACATGTGGAGTGGAGCAAAGGAAGTGCTTCCCAGGAGAAGTCCTCTCAGATGGGATGCACATGGGATCTGACACTTGGCTAGAAGAACAGGAAGGTGTCATTGCTGGCACCAACCACAGCAGAAATCACCATTTCTCTGGGGTGTGCGGCCTCTTCCAGGATGCTGCACCCATCCGGGAGTGGACATTTGTCATTTTGTGGGATGCATAGCACGTAACTCCCCTGTTTAGTTTGAGGGAATCCCCACGGCATGAGTCTCTCTGGGAGGCAGACAGATGTGTTTCTACCTGTTTCCCAAGCCTGGCTCTAGTCTTCCTGGCAGGTCTTGATGCTACCCAATAGCCTTGAGTACATTCCTTTCCTGCCTCCGTCAGCCAGAATTAGTTTCTGTTGTTTGCAGCCAAGAACCATGACTGGTTTAGTCTGGGGCCAGCAGGGCAATGATGTTTGGCTTCTCTATGTCTCCAAGTATGTGCGTGCCAGAAAGGCAGACACCCCGAGAGTTGGCAGGAGTACTCTGGCAGCCTGGAATTTAGGGGCTCCTGAGGAATGGGGAGAGACAGTAACCAGTTTGAGCCAGGAAATCTTGGGAGGCAGTTGGAGTTCCCAAAATTCTGTGGGTAGAGGTCACATCAGAGAACTCATTCTAAGGTTGGGATATGTAACTGGGAGGGTTTCCTAGTGCTCCCCCTGTCACGTGAAAGTCAGAGAGCCCACAGTTGGCTCATGGCCCTGTGGGAATGCAAAACCTGCCCCTCCCGGGCCTCTGGTACCGGTTGTGCTTTCCCCAAAGCTAGTAATCTGTTCAAAACATTTTTCCCCATCTAGGACCCTGCATCTGCCACAGAGGATGAAACCTGGGAGGACGTGATCTGAGTCAAAGTGCACTCACCACGCTTCCTCCTGCCTCAGATAACAGGACGTAGGAGCAGAAAAGGCCCCTGGAGCCGTCTAGGCTTGTGGTCTCAGACGTCAGAGGGCCTCAGAATCACCCAGAGACCTATGTAGCCAGGCGGGTTCTCACGGATTTTCATGAGGCCTGGGGAGAAGCCCTAGGATTTGGGTTTTGTACAAACTTCCCAGGTGATCCTGATGGTTTTTTAAAATAGTATTGCCATCTTTCATCCCATCTTACTGGAATGGAAACCGAGACTCAACGCGAAATGCCCTCCTGACCACGGCCCACCAGAGAGCTGGCTGCTGAGCTGGACACTGACAGGGCTTCCTGACACTCCCCGAGGCTGGCCAGGGCTGGGCTGGGGCATGAAAGGGCTTCTTTCCAAGTCAGTGGCAGGATTTTCTTTGCCCCCAACAGGGCTCTTCCTTTTCTTATTATAAAAGGGGCAGCTTGTCATGGGCACATTTCGGAAATAGGGATGGATTTCTTGCCTTGGCCAAGGCTGTGACCTTAGCTAAGTCGGAAACCCCATCGGTAAGGCCAGGAATTGCTGCAGAAGGCTCTCAGCCGAGGCTCCACTTCTGGGTCTCTGAACGATAAGGTATGACCTTGACTATCTCTACCCTGAGTTTCAGTTGTGTCTGGTTTACAAAACTGGGGAGACTCTTGGGGCTGGCAGGTGGCATGGTCGTTAAGGGCACTGGACTCTGTCCCTCTCTGGTCAAATTAAAACAAATAAAATAGAAATCAGCAGATGGCATAATGGTTATGTTGCTGGACTCTCACATAGATGACCATGGTTCAAAACTTGGACCCAGCAGCTTAAAACTCACACTGTGCGCATGTGTGTGCTTGCCCAAGATCCCTAGAGGAGAACAGGGGAGAAGGGATTGCGGTGTGGCCATCCCCCTAGGGAGTGATTTCTCACTTTCTGTCTGTCTGTCCCTCTCTGTCTCTCCAGTGAGCGCACATGCTCTATAGCAAAAATCTCTCTACAAACAAAAGATAAAAAATTAAAAATAAATAAAATAAAGTTAAATAAAATCGTTCTTTTAAAAAATAAATAACTGGGAGATCTCACTGTCTACTATCTACCTGGCTCCCTTGCCGGCCTGTGGTGTGAGTGTGCTTTGTAAACTCCTCAGTACAACCAAACGGGAGGGATCACAGACTCTGGAGGTGTGACTAGAATACTGATTTCCACTCTGGGTCCCTTGAGGACATGCTGGCCCAACTTGGGAACAGCAGAGGAAGCTAAGAAGCTGCCAGCGATGCTCAGGGGAGAGTCTCAGAGCCCTGTAGGCTGGCTGGCAAGGAGAACCCTTCTGCTCCCACAGCCCGCTTCCCCCTGTCATGGGAGGTGTGTGTGTGTGTGTGTGTGTGTGTGTGTGTGTGTGTGTTGGGTGGGGAGTCACTGGATTAAGGCTTTCTTGCCTCTGGTCTGGTACTGCCAGGACCCTCTGTCCATCTCAAAGTGTCTTGGCACAGGGATCCTAGAAGTGGTCAGAGGACCCCAGGGCACCCAGGGGAGTCGCCTCTACCCTTCATTTGGGCTGTCACAGCAGGTCCCAGAGGGTGGTTAGCTCATCACCCCTTCCCTTCTTAGCACGTCACACCTCTCACAACAGCTTCTCCAGCTGGCAGGAGTCCCCGTTCACCGGAAGTTGCCAGAGTGCTAGGATTCTCATACCATTGGGCTCCACACTCGCTCAAGTCCTCTCATCTCTTTGCACCTGCTTTCTCATCTATAGAATGAAAAACACAGAATTCCAGACCCACTCTTCATTATACATTTGCTGTATCAAGTGGGAGTAGGGTGCGAGTGGGTTTGGGCACACTGAAAGATCGTTGATGTTCTCTAGTAAGAGAAGTTAGGGCACATGAGGGCTGAAGGGGGAGACATAGGGAATGGCCCACAGAGGTTCTCCAACTCCAGGAGGCAGGAGAACTCTGCAGGATGATTTAGTTCCTGTCTCTAGTTGGGGTTGTCCCAACAGCAGGTCCTTTGACTTACTAAATTTCTTAAAATTATTATTCATGGTCAGCAGATGGTATGGTGTTTAAGGCACCGGATCCCACATGGCTGACTGCAGTTCAAGTCCCAGACCCAGTGACTTGAAAGACATGCCCGGTACCTGTGAGTATGTTCCCAAAATCCCGAGAGAAGAATGGAGAAGGGATTGCAGCACGGTCATCCCCTCTGGAGGGTGATTTCTCACTTTCCTTCTCCCTCTGTCTCTCTCCAGTAAGTTCATGTGCCCTGTGGCAAAAATCTAAAAAAAAAATTAAAAAATTAAAATTAAAATAGGAACCAGCGCTGGACCTTAACCACCTCACATGGCCGACCATGGTTCAAGTCCCGGACCTGGTGTCTTGCTTTCTCACTTTCTGTGTGTGTGTGTGTGTGTGTGTGTGTGTGCACGCACCTGGTCAAATTTAAAAAATAAGTAAATTAATAAATAAAATTAAATAAATAATTCTTTTTAAAAACTGCAAAATAAAATTTAAAAATCTATTATTCATGATAGAGTGTGTGCATATTCTTGTGAGAAAAAGAGAGAGAGGCTCCTTCCACAGGGCTAAGTGACTCCACGATCCCCGTCCTCTGGCCATCTAGCTGGCTGGGATTCTGAGCATGTGTGCACACTGGCCAACCAGGGACTCGAACTGCAGATCAGCACATGCCATAGAGGCTGGGCCAGGCCATTTGCCTTACCATGCCTTCACCCTACTGTGCAGGGCTCAGCCGCTGACTTAGAGCGGAGACGCTGAGTTAGACTAAGGGGCGGTGCAGAGATAAGTCTAACATTTTCAGAGGCCCACACAGACACATTCCTTGACACACGCTGAAGTCATCTAGGTCAGTGGTTTTCAAACTATATTTTTAGGCTTTGGCCATAGGGCGCATGCGCTCACTGGACAGAGACAGAGACAGTGAGAGGAAACGTTTTTTGCAGCGCCCTCTCTTCAGCAAGATGTTGGCACAATGCCTTAGATAGGTCTGAGAATCACGGAGCGCCAGGAAGCACTGCTGATTTATTGGGCAGAGTGCGAAACGAAGCTCTAAGAACACTTGGAATGCGACTGACAAAAGCCACACAATAAAACGGTGGTTAAAACAAATGAGTAAGAAAACCCACCTAAAATGCAGATCTAACTCACCGGCATCTCCAGCACAGCGCAATGTCTGAGAAGTGCAGATTTCCTCCTGTAGGGGTCACTTACACCCTGCCGAGGTCCCTGAAGGGCACTTGGTAGTAAGTGGGGGCAATTTATTGACATAGCTGTAATAAATCGTAAAGGGCAACAGGAGACTCGAGGTCTCCTTTGCAAATGACAAGGAAGTTTGGCAGCTGTTTCTGAGGCACAGAGCCCTTGCAGAAATAAGCCAGGAGCAGGCCAGGCAACGCGGGACCGGTGGAAACCCCTTCCAGCCGCCTCTGGCCTCCTCCTCGCTCCCCAGAGCCAGGGGCCGACGTGAGACTCACCCGTCAGCACAAGGGCCTGGGGGCTCTCTCCAGCGGTCACAGGGCTTCGTTCATGTGCCAGAGAGTGGTGTTTGGCGGGACTTTTCCTTGGTTCTCTGCCCTGCGAGGCAGACTGCGGGCCAGGAGGAGGGGTGGAGAGGGAGGAGACTCACACTCACACCTCTGTACCCTGTGAACACCAGATGGGTCCACAGGGGAGGAGCTGACCGACAGGGGCCGAAAAACAGGCACCCGGCCCCTTCGCTAAGCTCAGCCAACGAGGTCCCACTGTCACTAGGGGCAGAGCCCTGAAGCAGGGAGCCTTGGATCTCTCCCACTCCCAGGGCCAGGAGGAGGAGGGCGGGAGGCGTTCCTGCTGCGGGCCCAGGCAGGGGAAGGGCGGGGCTGCAGGCGTTCCGGGGAGACTCGCCATTAGGACCGTGCTTCCCGGGACTCCCCTGGCCTCCTGGGCGCTGGCGAATTCTGTCTGCCGCCCTGGTGCTGCTGAGCCGGGCGCAGAGGACAGGGATCCAGGACTGACGCCAATGAGGGGCGCATGGCTGACACCAAGGAGGGGTTGAATGACCCCTCGAGGGGAGCATCAGGCCTCAGCGCTCCAGCTATCCCTGCTAGGGATTTGACTCACCTAGGCAACATACAGGCCATTTGGGGGTTAGTCATCGTGCTCCTGAGGGAATCAGCGGACAGGTTCTGATTAAGCCGGTAATCCAGTCTCAGGTGGCAGATGGCAGAGCGCTGTGTCCTCTTAGGACCCACCCTCTGTCCCTGCCCTGGCAAACCCCAGGGACACCTGGTCAGGAGGAACTCTCAGACTGTCCTGACTGGAGGGAGAGGTCCTTAGAGACCAGAGTTTCCCGGGTTTCACACCCCTCCAGGACACAAGGAAAGGCCTGGGGAGGGGTTGGCTAGGATGAGGGCTTAGATCCCCACCCCCATTCCACCAAGCACTCCCACTTCGATCTTAACTGTATGAGACTTTGCTAAGAGGTCAGTTAACCAATGGCCGGTTACCACACACAGTTCGGGGTCATTTTTCAAGTCTCTTCTCATTTTCTCTTCATTGTGTGTGACCTTAGGCAGCTTAACTTCCATTTGTAGGGTTAATATTATTATTTTTTTTTTGGAGAGGCTTTCACTATAGGGTGCCTGCGCTCGCCAGATAGAGAGAGACATAGAGACAGAAAGCGAGAAATCACCCCCCAGGGGGGATGGTCACGCCACAATCCCTTCTCCTCCATTCTCCTCTCGGGATCTTGGGCAGCACACACACGCGGCCGGCGTGGGTTTTAAGCCACCGGGTCCGGGACGCGAACCACGGTCGACTACGTGGGAGTCCAGCGACATAGCCATTATGCTAACTGCTGGTTCCCCGTTTCTAGGATTCTTCATCTGCCCTAGTGCCTCCCTCATAGGGTTGTTGTAATGATTAAGTGAATTAATCTGTACAGGGTGCTTCCCACATGTTGTTCCTGGTCACGGTAAAAAAATAAAAAGCTGCATTGAGTGTTGTGATTGTCATTAGCATAACAATTATTTTATGATGAACAGAAAGGCCCCGAGAAGACAAGACAGTGCACAGGTGTCATGGCCGCCTGGGAGTAGAGCAGGGAGGAGTAGAGTACTACCTAATTATTTAGACGGAATCTATTACTTCTTAGACAATTTGAGGTTGATTCTCCATGGGAATCTTTGAAAAATAAATAAATAAAAGCCCTGGATGAAGGGCCTCAGGATAAGGGGCCTCTAGCACAACTTCCATGGTCCTCAGGAAGTTGAGGAGTAGCAGGAGGGAGGGGAGGAGGATGAGAGAGAAAGGAAGGTGGGGATGAGGAGAAGGAGGTGAAGAAGAGTCTTGAGCCCTTGTAGGTCAGCTGCTAAATAGGAGACGTCTCCCTCCTGGGCTTGCTCTTGAGAGGACTCCTTCATTAAGAGGATTTAGTTCACTAAAATATTGCAAATAAGGCTTGTCTAGGCCAGTTGGGCACCTGGAAGCCAGGTACCTAAGTGCTAAAAGATGGATGGGAGCCTGCTGCTTCAGCGGGAGGCGTGCCTGCGGCGGGCCCAGGCAGGGGAAGGGCGGGGCTGCAGGCGTTCCGGGGAGACTCGCCATTAGGACCGGGCTTCCCGGGACTCCCCTGGCCTCCTGGGCGCTGGCGAATTCTGTCTGCCGCCCTGGTGCTGCTGAGCCGGGCGCAGAGGACAGGGATCCAGGACTGACGCCAATGAGGGGCGCATGGCTGACACCAAGGAGGGGTTGAATGACCCCTCGAGGGGAGCATCAGGCCTCAGCGCTCCAGCTATCCCTGCTAGGGATTTGACTCACCTAGGCAACATACAGGCCATTTGGGGGTTAGTCATCGTGCTCCTGAGGGAATCAGCGGACAGGTTCTGATTAAGCCGGTAATCCAGTCTCAGGTGGCAGATGGCAGAGCGCTGTGTCCTCTTAGGACCCACCCTCTGTCCCTGCCCTGGCAAACCCCAGGGACACCTGGTCAGGAGGAACTCTCAGACTGTCCTGACTGGAGGGAGAGGTCCTTAGAGACCAGAGTTTCCCGGGTTTCACACCCCTCCAGGACACAAGGAAAGGCCTGGGGAGGGGTTGGCTAGGATGAGGGCTTAGATCCCCACCCCCATTCCACCAAGCACTCCCACTTCGATCTTAACTGTATGAGACTTTGCTAAGAGGTCAGTTAACCAATGGCCGGTTACCACACACAGTTCGGGGTCATTTTTCAAGTCTCTTCTCATTTTCTCTTCATTGTGTGTGACCTTAGGCAGCTTAACTTCCATTTGTAGGGTTAATATTATTATTTTTTTTTTGGAGAGGCTTTCACTATAGGGTGCCTGCGCTCGCCAGACAGAGAGAGACATAGAGACAGAAAGCGAGAAATCACCCCCCAGGGGGGATGGTCACGCCACAATCCCTTCTCCTCCATTCTCCTCTCGGGATCTTGGGCAGCACACACACGCGGCCGGCGTGGGTTTTAAGCCACCGGGTCCGGGACGCGAACCACGGTCGACTACGTGGGAGTCCAGCGACATAGCCATTATGCTAACTGCTGGTTCCCCGTTTCTAGGATTCTTCATCTGCCCTAGTGCCTCCCTCATAGGGTTGTTGTAATGATTAAGTGAATTAATCTGTACAGGGTGCTTCCCACATGTTGTTCCTGGTCACGGTAAAAAAATAAAAAGCTGCATTGAGTGTTGTCATTGTCATTAGCATAACAATTATTTTATGATGAACAGAAAGGCCCCGAGAAGACAAGACATTGCACAGGTGTCATGGCCGCCTGGGAGTAGAGCAGGGAGGAGTAGAGTACTACCTAATTATTTAGACGGAATCTATTACTTCTTAGACAATTTGAGGTTGATTCTCCATGGGAATCTTTGAAAAATAAATAAATAAAAGCCCTGGATGAAGGGCCTCAGGATAAGGGGCCTCTAGCACAACTTCCATGGTCCTCAGGAAGTTGAGGAGTAGCAGGAGGGAGGGGAGGAGGATGAGAGAGAAAGGAAGGTGGGGATGAGGAGAAGGAGGTGAAGAAGAGTCTTGAGCCCTTGTAGGTCAGCTGCTAAATAGGAGACGTCTCCCTCCTGGGCTTGCTCTTGAGAGGACTCCTTCATTAAGAGGATTTAGTTCACTAAAATATTGCAAATAAGGCTTGTCTAGGCCAGTTGGGCACCTGGAAGCCAGGTACCTAAGTGCTAAAAGATGGATGGGAGCCTGCTGCTTCACCTAGGCCACTCCCTGTGGCAACTAAGGATGTGGAACTGGAACTGAGGCCTCCTGCCATGGGCCTGAGAAAGCCCTAGTCTCTTAACTACCTCCCTGTCGAGGTCCGACTCCGAGGAAGCTGGTTTTAACGGGATCGCATTTGACTCCTTAGGGTAGCCCTCACTCTACAGGCAGGAAGGAGACTGAAGGCAGCTGACTGCCCGTCCTGGCCAAGCAGAGGACGCTGAGCAAAGCCACAGCTCCAAAGGACAGAGGGCACAGCAAGCAGACAGGTGTGGCACAGTTTGACAGCATGGCCCATGGCAAGACACACGCCCGCCTACAAGTTGTGGGGAGGCGAGGTACCAGCGAGTGTCACAATTGAAGTTCCTAACCAGAGGGACGCATTGGCACTGGGGGCATCTGCCCTTCTTTTCCTGATGATGATAACACTCCAGTAGGCCACCTGCCCCCTACAAGGCTCACGGCACACGTGTCCCCAAGTCCCACACAGAGGTCTTTGAAAACAGAAAAATGTCGGCCAGCATCTCCCTACCCTGGTGCTTTTGAAACAATTCCTAGGCACTTTCTGCTTCAGGAATGTCACCACTAGTAGTCCCCAAGGGATAGGCAAAACTGTACTCACAGATGCTTCAACTCTCCCAGCCGGTATGCCAAGAAAGAGCACAGACTAGGGACCAGCAGTTGGCTTAATGGCTATGTTGCTGGACTCCCATGTAGTCGACAGCGGTTCAACTCCCAGACCTAGTGGCTTAAACTCACGCTGGGCATGTGTATGTGCGTGCCCAAGATCCCGAGAGGAGAATGGAGAAGGGATTGCAGCGTGGCCATCCCCTCTGGAGGGTGATTTCTCGCTTTCTGCCTCTCTGTCTCTCTCCGACTTTCTGCCCTATAGCAAAAACAAAGCAAACAAAAAACAAACCTCTCCAAAAATAAAGAAAGAAAGAAAAGAAAGAGCACAGACTAGGACAAGACACCCAGATGCTAGCCCTAAATCTGTTCCTAGCTCAGGACACAATGGCCCCTCTCCTCTGATCTGAGATTTGAAGTCACTTCTTAGAAATCAAGTTCCTAGGCTCTCCCCCAGACCTCCTGGCTCTGTTTGCTAACCAAGTCCACAGGAGATTCACGTGCAGCTAGTTTAGAAGCAAGGGGCTGGATGTCTTTTGGGTCCTACTTGGAAGGAGCTGGTTCTAGCGGGGTCACGTTTGTCTCAACAAATGCCATTGGAG